GCCAGCACCCTGCCCAGGCCTGAGCCCCTCCAGTGCGCCCCACCTTGTGCACCGCTCTGGCCCCTTGGGCCGCCTGCCTCCTGGCAGCCACTTCCCTGAAGCTGTGGCGCTTGCCAGGATCGCCCATCAGGCGGAGCCTTGTCCACACGCCTTCAGACCCCATAGCCGCGGCTCCTGGGGGGCTGCTTTGCCGAAGGTTCCTCTACCTTCAGGCTCTCTCCTCAGACCCCCGGCTCCCGCGGCCCCGCCCTTCCATGGCTCCCTGCAGCCCCCGCTCTACTCGGTTCTCCCGCCACCCACCTGTCAGGACGCTGCCCGGGCGCCTTGCTGAGGGCAGTGTGGTTCTGGGGCAGGGGCTGGAGTGTGGGGAGCAGCTCCAGTAAAGTTTAGTAAACCCCAGGCCCCCAGCCCCTCCTTGAGCAGAGCCCAGGGCAGGCTGGGGGCCTGGATCCGAACACTGCACCTGCAGAGACGGCGGCAGAGAGGCGAGGCTACATCGGCCTGCCAGAGTGGGCGGGTCATGCCTTCCTCCTCGCCCCCCGCAGCCTGGCCACACTGCCACAATTGGCCCGCAGAAGTGGGTGGGTTGTGCATTGCGGCTCGGCCCAGCGGCTCCCAGCCGGGTCTGCGATAGGCCCGCTGGAGTGGTTTGGGGCTGCTGGGTGCCGGGCTCCCCTGAGTGTTTGTGTCTCCAGTCCGGACCCCAGCAGCCCCAGCACCGAGGTGGCGGGGCTTGGGGCTGCTGGGGCCTGACAGGAGACATAAACACACAGGGCTTCCCTTAGGCTTCGAGGCTGGGAGCCATCAGACTTCACTCGTGGCTTGGAGCCTACATATGCAAATTAACCACCATCTTTGTTGGCGGTTAATTTGCATATCATGCTGATTAGCCAATGGGAGGTGTAGCGAAGGTAAGGTCAATTACCATTAACATGTTTGTCTATTATTAGATAGGATAGCATAAACACATCTACTAACACAGCCTGTGGTGGTATAGATAATTCAATGTAGAGATCATGTTAAAGACTAATTTTGAGGCTGTTCATGGGATGCCAGACCAGGGCCAAACTGTAGCCTCTCCCAGGACACCAAGATGGCCCCTGTTACCCCTCCCCACTTCCCACCCATCTCTCTTCACCGCTGCACCTCTGCCTCCTTGATATTCATCCCCACAGCTGCCCTTCCTTAGATGCTTCCTGGCACTGGTCATAGTCCTTTAGACACAAGTTCCCTTGTTCCTAGAGAATAGGAAGTGGTGACAGTTGTCAGCACCTGAAGTTCCAAACTAGCTGAATGTGTTCACTGAGGGCCCTGGGTCTCTCTGCCTCTCCCAGGGAGTGAGAAATCAGCAGATCCACATGGTGTTGCTTCTCAAGAAATCTGAAGTCTTGTACAGGAACCAGGTCTGTCTTTGTCTCGCACCTGGTTCCATCCCCTCCCCTAGGTTCAGTCTACTCCAGTCTGAGCTGCCCACTGGGCTCCAGACCCCTGCTTGTACCTTGAGCCCTGGCCCCCTGAATGCCTGAGTCCACATCTGGTTGGCCCCCATGGAGACAAGGGGTCCCTACTCAGATAACCCAGGCTGATGAGCAGGATGGGGCAGGGAGTGGACCCACCCTGGGGGAAAGGCCAGCAGGATACAATGGGTCTGGATTTGGGGATCAGCCAGCAGGGATCCAGCAACTGAGAAGGAATCCTGTTGGAGAATTATTTTCTAAGTCCATGAAGAGGTCCATAGTGAAGCTCTGCAGATTGCCTCTGGCGCCATCAATTGGTGTTTTTAAGAACTGCCACAAGCGTGCTCTTCCTTCTTACCCATAAGGTTGGTAATAGAAATGATTGGCACAAACTAATGGAGAGAGTGGTTGACGCTGGCAGGACTTGAGGTCAGGGAGAAGTAGGTGGAGGCGTTAAATGTTTCCATGATATTTGATTTCTTAGGCTGAATGGCGGGTACACAGATGTTTATTTTTAGGTCTTCAACTGTTCATATACACACGTTTGTGTAGATGATATGTTCATTAAAATGTTTTTTTAAGTCTCTGGCGATAAGTTGAAAAGGGATGTAAGGTTCAGGGTGGAGGTTCTGTCTTCTGTAGCCCGAGTTGCTGTGTCTCTGGACAGGACATGGATGGGCGGGGACAGTGGCAGGTTGTCTTAGCCAAACTGTGTTTCCTCACAAGTTGCCCGCTGAGGCCTGTTCACCCAGAGGACAGCACTGAGCATGCTCAGGAACAGGGGCACTTTCAGGAATATGAGGAGCAGGAAGTGGACACTGCTGAGCAGGGACCTGTGGGGGACACGGTGACGGTGATGCGTAGTGAGCCTCATCGTCACCACTCCTGCCCCCCCTTCCCCCTCCCCCATCCAAAGGAGAATCCACCAGGTGTCAAAGTCCTGGGATGTGCGCCCCTTACCGAGGGTGTTGGTTGGCAACAGGCGTCTCCTGGCTGGTCATGCTGGGCCCGGTGGTCACTGGCAGGGAGGAGGGAGGGCCCAGCGTGCTTGGAGGGCCCAGGGTGCTTGTAGATCCCAAAGGTGCTTGGAGGGCCCAAGGGTGCTTGTGACGATCTTCAGGGTGGGGGCTGAGGGAGAAGCACAAGTCAGGCCCTGGGTCTTCCACTCTGTTAGCTGTGTGGCTCTGACACAAGGTCCAGGTCACTCAGGCCATCTGCTCCATGGCCACAGGCAGGCCGGACCTGGGCCCCCTTCCTGGGCCCCCTCCCCGGGCCCCTCTCCAGGAACTCTGTGGCCCAGTGGGCATGTCCGGATGCAGAGTCATCCTGCTCAGCAGAGGATCTGACTGTGTGGGAAGAGCGCTTGGCCACACTCTCACCACAGCCACCCCTTCTCCCCCTTGTCCCGCCAGCAGGGTGGGGTGACACTTATTCTGTAGCCTTGACTAGAGTGATAGGTGGCCAGGGACCTTGGTCGTGGCTGATGGATCCAGTGAGACCAGTGAGACGAGAAAACAGACGTGCCTCAGAGTCTGCAGTGGATGGCGGAACCCTGCAGTCCCTTAGACACACCCTGGTCTGAAAGGTCGTGTCTCCAAAATTCCTTTGTTGAAAGCCCCAGGCCCAGTGGGTGGTGTTAGGAGGCCAGGCATTTGGAGGTGGTCAGGGCATGAGGGTGGAGCCCTCATCCTTGGGATTAGTGCCCAGATGAGGGAGGCCCCTCACCCAGGAGGATACAACAAAAGTCTGCACCCAGAGGAGGGCCTTGCCCACCTGCTGGCCTTCTGATCTTGGGCTTCCAGCTGTGTCTAAGCTACCAGCCCCCACACTGTCAGTCAGGCCTTGGCCCACTGGGCAGTCCTCTCTGGGGGAAGAAATGAGCAGAAAGAAAGATCTAGAGCAGGGGGTGGGGGACCTGTTTCCTGCCAAGGGCCATTTGGAGATTTATAACATCAGTCCAGGGCCCACAAAATCATCAACTTAAACATTAGCCTGTTCTGTTTGGCCAGGCATTTCATTCACTCACCCCTAATGCCTTGGCAGGGCCAGACCCAATGATTTCCTGGGCCTTATATGGCCCTCGTGCCGGACGTTCCCCACCCCTGATCTAGAGAGACCCACACCAGGTGGACCCCATAGCACGTGGCCTGTCCCAAAGGCACCGGAACAAACCCCTCCCCCGGCCAGAGGTTCTGGGGTTTCCAGTTTCTGCCTCTTAAATATGAAGACACAAAGGCCAGTGAGGGCACCTTCCACATGAGAGTGAGAAACTGAGAACTACAAGGAGGAAGTGAGGAGCCAGAGCCGCCGTCATCAGGAAGGTGATGTTCACTGGGCTCTCAGGCAACAAGCACAGCGACCTGGTGGAGAGAATTGTGCGGAGAGCAGGCAAGAAGCAGGGGCCATAGCACCTGAGCGTCACGTGATCACCTTTCCTCTCCTTCCTGAGGGAGGTATTTTCAGGGGCTCCTCTGGGTTCCCCCCTGTGGCTACAAGGCATCAGAGAAAAACGGGGAGGGACAGGGTCAGCCTGAAGGGAAGGGAGGCCCCAGAACATCACAGGGGCCCCACGCAGGGACCTGGGGCTCCTCTGGGCCTGTCTCATGGCTGCTGCAGGCCCCCAGGACCACGGCTGTGAGGGTGATGCCTCAGGAGCCATCCAGACCTGAGACTGCGTCAGGGCCTGGGCTCCGAAGGGGTCTGGAACAGACTGTGTGTGTGTGTGTGTGTGTGTGTGTGTGTGTGACACGTGTGCCGAGATAACACAACACCCACACACGCTGTGTCCTGATCACGGACCCCCACTTCACCCAGCTCTTCAATTCCATGTCTGTCCTGACCAGTGGATGACCAGGTACAGGTCAGGCAGCCTGGAGCTGGGTGAGGGGAGGGTATGTGTGCAGCTCACCTGAGGACACGGACACCACAACTGGGAATGTGGGGACAAAAGGTTCTTCTGTCCATGGTCTATCCATCCCACACCAGTATGTGCCTTCATCGCCCTCTGTGAGGCTCTCCAAGGTCACTGTGAAGGTGAGGGTTGCTGGATGGTCCCTGATGGACACACGGCCGCTCCTCACTTCTCTCTCTGACTCTGTGGTCTCCACAGTCTTCTTCGTCAGCGATGGCAACCATGGGCCTTTGCACCAGTATTTGTTATGGTCTGTGTACTTCTTCTCATACCGACACTGCACGCTCAGCGATCCCCCCACGGTGCCCGTCACGCGCCTGGGGCAGCTCAGAGACAAACAACCTGGAAGACACAGCCCATCCCGGGTTCTTACCAGATGGGCCAGGGGCAGGGGTGCCCTGGGGTGCAGGTCCCTCAAGAGCCCTCAGGGTGTGGAGGCCATGCCTTTCCTCAAACCAGGCGAGGGGACCAGGGGCGATAGCTCCCTCCTCCTAGTGGTGACACAGGGAGAGGGTGTCCATGGAGACAGGAAGGGCCACGATGGGAAAAACAGAATTTGTGCGTGTTTGTGTGTGTGTGTGTGTGTGTGTGTGTGTGTGTGAACATGGGTATATGTGTGTATGTGTGTGTGTGAACATGGGTACAAGTGTGTGTGTAAGTGTGTGTGATGCACCAAGACCACATCTCTGGTTTTTTTTAATCACTTAAGGATATTGTTCCATTGCTTTTTAGAGAGAGTGGAAGGGAGGTAGGAAGGCAGAGGAAGAGAGAAACATTGATGTAAGAAAGACACATTGCTTTGTTGGCTTCTGCATGAGCCCAGGTACATGCCTTTGACCCAGAATTGAATCTACGTCAGGCCGATGCTCTAACCACTGAGCCTTCAGCCAGGGCCCACTTCCCTGGTTATGACAATCAGGTGGTGAGCACAGGCCCAGTCTCCCCAGTGCAGCTCTGTTGGCGCAGTGATTGAGACTCACTTGCTTTGTGCACTGAATCCTTGTGGTTGCTGCTGAGGAAGGTGCTGTCCGTTCCCAGAAGCTTCTCTGCCTCCCTTGCTCTCCCGCATGTCCTCCCTCACTCCTGCTGGGCTGCTGCTCAACCTCTACCCACTCCCCCATGTCCTTCCTCCCTCCTGCTGGGCTGCTCCTTACCCTTCACCCACTCCCCATCCCGGTCTTTCCTCATTCCCATTCGGGGCCCAGCTCCCATGCAGCCCAGCCCCACTCACCTGGGACCTGGAGAAGGAGCAGAGCTGAAGGCAGCCACATGGCCCCACTCCTCGGGGTCATGTCTCCGCACAGACACAGCCTAGAGCAGCGCCAGGCTCTACGTGCGGACACAGCCAAGCCTCCTCGCTGAGGTTCGATTGCCCTGTGCCCACTTCCTCTTTTCTGGGCCTCTCTGCTACCGTGTCCAGCCCAGATTTGAGTCCGATGCTGGATGGTCAGGATGCAGGAAGCTTAGGGTCAGGAGATGAACAGGCAGCTGCAGACCCCGGGATCTTGGCGCCCTGGGCTTCTGCTCTCAACCCCAATGACAGGACAGGGCCCGGGGCCTCAGAGAGGCTGCTGCCCCTTCTCAGAGCACATGGCTGCTCCTCTGATGGCCACAGGTCTCCGCACAGCAGAGCCGCTGGGACGGTTCCTCCTTGATGGTGTCCCCACCCTCTGCCATATGTCACTTCCTTGTAGTCAAGAATGATAGTCCTGGGCTGAAGGCCACCCCTTTTCATCCACTCAGGCCTTGGTGGTGACCACAGAGGTGTTCTGACCCCCAACATGTAGCTGCAGGCACCCACAGGGAGCACTGACTCTGTGGGTCCCCAACTCTTCTACGACCTCAGATGCCTTCAAAGGTCTCATCTTGGTTGTGGGGTCCCATCCAAGGCTGAGCCCTCTCTCCTGTTGGTTTCCCTGTTCACCAACCCTCTGAGGATTCTACTTTTTACTCTTTCTTCTTCTGAAAGTCAGCTCCACAGTGAGACTCGGCACAGAGGTCTGACAGTGGGCAAGGAGAGCTCAGAGCTCAGAGCATGGAGAGTGGGGGACCCTGCGCAGCTGAGACTGAGCCTTTCCTCTCCTTCCAATGGCACAGAGAGGGCGGTCTTCCCAAAGGCACTGTCGCTGGTGTTCCTTTGGGGTTAACAGGGGTGACCAGGGGCCTCCTCAAGGGGCAGAGATGGGAATGTTTCTTCCCAGGAGGTGGGGAGGCAGGTCTGTCCTACCTCGGTAGTCTCAGGACATGATGGCTCCCGGGCCAATTTGCCCTGGAAATGGTAGGGGGGCAGGTGAAGAGGTGGGGCCTATTTTAAGGTGTCTCCTGGGTTGCGCTGGTTTCTCAACCTTGTCATGCGCAATCCAGGTCTATCCCTTTCCCCCAAACACTCCCTTCCCAGATCTGTTCCTGTTCTACACCAGCTTACCGCAACCAAAGGCAATAATAAGCCCAGAGTGGTTGCAACCCAACTCCTGTAACATGGGCTTCTTCTCTCCTCACTCCCCATCCATCCTTACCCCAAGCCTCTCCAATCTGTCCCTTCCCCTCCTTTTTCTCTGACCTTCTGTGTCCTCTGTCCTCTCACCACTACAGTGACATCCCTCTGTTGCCCTTTCTCTCTCTTCTCTACTCATGAGCAAGAGTCACAGAAATCAATAGCAGTCAGTGGCACTCCTTGAGACACACTCTCCTTGCTTGGCCTACTCGACCCGAGTGGACCTGACAAGGGTCTCACTCCCCTTGCCCCTTAGTGACCCCATGTTTCAGTCAGAGTGTCCATCCCTCTCCAGGCCCTAGTTTCAGGTGAACAACATGGCGCCCAGACAGTTACATATCTTACAAAGTGATCACCCGGATAAGTCTAGTCCCCACCAGACACCTTACACATTGTTAACTTTTATTTTTGAAGCTCTCAGCATTTTGAAAAATAAAAAAGAGAGATGTCAAAATAAGGTCACCAAAATGGTGGCATATTTTAAATGTGTCAAGTTCACAAATCAACTTTTGATACACAAATGACCACAAAGAATAATCAATCAAACTATAACAAGATGACTATTGCATTAGAATGTTAACTTTCTGGTGGCTTAGTAGGAATAAAACACACATATAAATACATAGCATAAACACGTCTACCAACACAGCCTGTGGTGGTGTAGATAATTCAATGTAGAGATCATGTTAAAGACTAATTTTGAGGCTGTTCATGGGATGCCAGGCCAGGGCCAAAGTGTAGACTCTCCCAGGACACTGCAAGATGGACCCCGCCACCCCTCCCCACTTCCCACCCATCTCTCTTCGCCCCTGCACCTCTGTCTCCTTGGTTCTCATCCCCACAGCTGCCCTTCCTTAGATGCTTCCTGGCACTGGTCATAGTTAGTCCTTTAGACACAAGTTCCCTTGTTCCTGGGGAATAGGAAGTGGTGACAGTTGTCAGCACCCGAAGTTCCAAGCTCGCTGAACGTGTTCACTGAGGCCCTGGTCTCTCTGTCTCTCCCAGGGAGTGAGAAATCAGCAGATCCACGTGGTGTTGCTTCTCAAGAAATCTGAAGCCTTGGACTGGAATCAGGTGTCTTGTCTCTGGCGCCTGGTTCCATCCCTTCCCCTAGGTTCAGTCTACTCCAGTCTGAGCTGCCCACTGGGCTCCAGACCCCTGGTTGTACCTTGAGCCCTGGCCCCCTGAATGCCTGAGTCCACATCTATTTGGCCCAATGGAGACAAGGGGGTGCCTACTTAGATAGCCCAGGCTGATGAGATGGATGGGGCGGGGAGTGGACCCAGCCTGGGGGAAAGGCCAGCAGGATACAATGGGTCTGGATTTGGGGATCAGCGGGGAGGGATCCAGCAACTGAGAAGCAATCCTGTTGGAGAAGTATTATTTCTAAGTCTATGAAGAGGTCCACAGTGAAGCTCTGAAGATTGCTTCTGGCGCCATCTGTTGGTGGCTTTAAAAACTGCCACAAGCGTGGTCTTAGTTCTTACCTGTGAAGTTGGTAATAGAAATGATTGGCACAAAATAATGAAGAGAGAGGTTGTCTCTGGCAGCAGGAGAAGGAGGGGCTTGAGGTCAGGGAGAAGTAGGTGGGGGCTTTAAATGTCTCCATGATGTTTGATTTCTTAGGCTGAATGGCGGGTACACAGATGTTTATTTGTAGTCCTTCAACGGTTCATATACACACGTTTGTGGAGGTGATATAGTCATTAAAATGTTTTTTTTAAGTCTCTGGTGATAAGCTGAAAAGGGATGTAAGGTTCAGGGTGGAGGTTCTGTCTTCTGTAGCCCGAGTTGCTGTGTCTCTGGACAGGACATGGATGGGCGGGGACAGTGGCAGGTTGTCTTAGCCAAACTGTGTTTCCTCACAAGTTGCCCGCTGAGGCCTGTTCACCCAGAGGACAGCACTGAGCATGCTCAGGAACAGGGGCACCTTCAGGAATATGAGGAGCAGGAAGTGGACACTGCTGAGCAGGGACCTGTGGGGGACACGGTGGCGGTGATGCACAGTGAGCCACATTGTCACCACCCCCGCCCCCCCATCTAGAGGAGAATCCACCAGGTGTCAAAGTCCTGGGATGTGCGCCCCTTACCGAGGGTGTTGGCTGGCATCAGGCGTCTCCTGGCTGGTCATGCTGGGCCCAGTGGTCACTGGCAGGGAGGAGGGAGGGCCCAGCGTGCTTGGAGGGCCCAGCGTGCTTGGAGGACCCAGGGTGCTTGGAGGACCCAGGGTGCTTGGAGGACCCAGCTTGCTTGTGACGATCTTCAGGGTGGGGGCTGAGGGAGAAGCACATGTCAGGCCCTGGGTCTTCCACTCTGTCAGCTCTGTGGCTCTGACACAAGGTCAAGGTCACTGAGGCCATCCCCTCCATGGCCACAGGCAGGCTGGACCTGGAACCCCTTTCTGGGCCCCCTCCCCGGGCCCCTCTCCAGGAACTCCGTGGCCTGGTGGGCATGTCCGGATGCAGAGTCGTCCTGCTCAGCAGAGGATCTGACTGTGTGGGAAGAGCACTTGGCCACACCCCCACCACAGCCACCCCTTCTCCCTCTTGTCCCGCCAGCAGGGGGCGGGGTGACACTTATTCTGTAGCCTTGACTAGAGTGATGGGTGGCCAGGGTCCTAAGGAGTGGCTGATGGCTTGAGTGAGACCCCGGAAATAAACATGCCTCAGAGTCTGCACTGGATGGCGGGACTCGCAGTCCCTTAGACACGCCATGGTCTGAATGCTCGTGTCTCCAAAATTCTTTTGTTGAAAGCCCCAGGTCCAGTGGGTGGTATTAGGAGGCCTGGCATTTGGAGGTGGTCAGGTCATGAGGGTGGAGCCCTCATCCTTGGGATTAGTGCCCCGATGAGGGAGGCCTCTCACCCTGGAGGATACAACAAAAGTCCACACCCAGAGGAGGGCCTCCCCCACATGACAGCTTCCTGATCTCGGGCTTCCAGCTGTGTCTGACCTACCAGCCCCCACACTGTCAGCCAGGCCTTGGGCCCACAGGGCAGTCCTCTCTGGGGGAAGAAATGAGCAGAAAGAAAGACCTAGAGCAGGGGGTGGGTGGCCTTTTCCTGCCAAGGGCCATTTGGAGATTTATAACATCATTCTCAGGCCTCACAAAATCATCAACTTAAACATTAGCTTGTTCTGTTTGGCCAGGAATTTCATTCACTCACCCCTAATGCCTTGGCAGGGCCAGACCCAATGATTTCCTGGGCCTTATACGGCCCTCTTGCATGACGTTCCCCACCCACGATCTAGAGAGACCCACACCAGGTGGACCCCATAGAACGTGGTCTGTCCCGAAGATTCATGGAGAAACCCCTCCCCCTCCCCTCAGCCAGAGGTTCTGGGGTTTCCAGTTTCTCCCTCTCACATAGGAAGACACAAAGGCCAGTGAGCGAGCCTCCCACGTGAGAGAGAGAAACAGAGAACTACAAGGAGGAAGAGAGCCACGTGATCACCTTTCCTCTCCTTTCTGAGGGAGGTACTTTCAGGGGCTCCTCTGGGTTTCCCCCTGTGGCTACAAGGCATCAGAGAAAAATGAGTAGTGACAGGGTCAGCCTGAAGAGAAGGGTGGCCCCAGAACATCACAGGGGTCCCACACAGGGACCTGGGGCTCCTCTGGGCCCGTCTCATGGCTACTGCTGGCCCCTAGGACCATGGCTGTGAGGCTGGTGCCTCAGGAGCCATCCAGGCCTGAGACTGTGTCATGGCCTGGGCCCCAAAAGGGTCTGGAACAGACTCTGTGTGTGTGTCTGTGTCTGTGCGTGTGTGTATTTGTGTGTGTGTGTGTGTGTGTGTGTGT